GAGATGCTGGTGGCAGATTGTTTATGCTAGTCGGTGGTTTTGAAGATGCAGCTGATTTCATAACATCTGGATCTGATCTATCTGTGACATTAGATGGAAGAAAATCAGATTCAGAAAAAATATCGGAGTTTAATGGCCATATTCCTGTACAAGCAAATCCACTTTGTATATTTTCTGGTGTAAAAGTTTTTGAAAGTGATCTGCCAACCAAATGTGGAATGTCATATATTGTTATAGGTTTACCTGGATGCATGATCATAAAATCACTGGCAGCAGAATTGTAAAACATCTTAAAGGGTCTGAAAACAGTTTTATCAAGTGGTTGTAATTTGTGACTCGTGTGTGCAGTGGCGGACTAAGGCTAAAGCGTGCCCTAGGCGACATTGTAATTCCGGAACTATTTTTCAGTCATGACACATACTTTTCGTTTGGTAGTTTGGTTTTAAAGCATATAGTATGTAGTTCTATTTAATTATCGGATTCCAAAAAAAAGTAAGATAAAAAATACACATGTACAAAAATTAAATAAACATAATGTATTAAAACAAACAAACATAAACATAATTTATTAAAACAAGCAATAATACTTAAACAAATGTACCTAAATTGATTATTTATATTGCTTTTTTTCTTACTTTTAATTCCGCAAACTCGTCAATTAGTTTGTCATAATTAATAGAGTTATTTAATTACTCTTTTTCTATATAAAGTAATGATAAACTATTTAAATTTTGTTGGCCTAATGTGGATCTTAAAATTTTTTTCATTCTGGCCATTGCTGAGAATGTTTTTTCACCGCTTGCATTGCTTATTGGAAGGGCTAAATAAATTCTCAGAATCATGTTTAAATAAGGGAATGTTGCAATAATATTATTTTCCTGACTAAATGACCACATGGATACAGGCGAAATAATATTTTCTTTCCTTATAAAAGTCTTAAATTGTAATACTTCATTTTTCAGTTCTGCTTGGTTTAAATCTTGTTTATAAAATTTTAAAGAGTCACTAACATCACTCATGAAAAATTGTTTTGAATTTATTGTAAATAGTTTTATATCCCTCAGATATTTTTTTAATGTTGCTAATTAAAGAATCGCATACAACAAAAAAATTATTAACTTTAAAATGTTCTTTGCCACTGAATCTTATTTCATGTTCTGGAATTTCATAATGGAATAGTTTTCGTATTTTCTGCCGTTTTTTATCATTAGTATATGCAATATCTTTAACTTTTTCTGCTTCTTTTTCTAAATTGTCAAAATCATCTCTAACAGTTTGTATGAAATCTATCAATAATCATATATTAAAACTGCTGTATTTAGGGATTCGTCTTTTTGTTGAAGAGTCTTATTTGAGGAATCTATTCTCTCTAAAATCTTTTCCCATATAGTAAGTAACAGTATATACTCAAATGTATCAAGTTTTTTTTTACGTAAATCGGCAGCTTCGGACCTTGTTAATAATTTTTCATCTTTGTTTGAGGAAAAATGACGCAAACAATGTTTAATTTCTTCATAATTTTCCTTTAAGGATTTCACAGCATCGGAACGAGCAGACCACCTGATGTCACAAATAGGTTTAATACTCAAGTGTTTTCTCTTCAAAAGTTCTGTAATGCATTCCACCTATCTGTAGAACTTGAAGAAAAAAAAAACGTACAATTCCTGAACGATATTGAAAAAAGTGGTATTTCCATGCAACTTTCGGCAGCAGCTTTTTCAATTAAATTTAATGAATGATTTGCGCAGGTATAAAATGGGCAGAAAAAATATGTTGTTTTATTCTGATTGGAGTCCCTTATATTTACCTGACATATCAAAAGCATTATCATAATTCCGTCCCCTACAATTAGTGATGTCTAACTCTATATTATTTAAAAATTCTAAAATAACTTTCTCCAAGTTTTCACCAGTATGAGAAAATATAGGTAGAAATCCCAAAATTCTTTCTTTTATACTTCTTGGAAGAACATAGCGAATAACGACAGTCAGCTGATCTACGTGAGATATATCAGATGTTGAACCAATAATTAGAGAGTAAAATTTGGCTTCCTTTACTTCGTTCACTTTTGTGAGTTGTCAATCTTTCGATATAATAGAAATAAATTCATCACACATTGTAGACGACAAATAGTGTATAGTACCGGTGCGGCAGTTTGCATATTTTTTCATGTGTTCTTGCGTAAATGGAGAGAACTCGGATAAATATTCCAAAGCACCTATATATTTACCATTATTTTCACTAAAAAACAATACATTTTTGCCACGAAACGCTAAAGAGTATAAAGAACGCTACTACACGTATAAGTACTTCCCTCCAATATTTTTTTTTTCCAGTTCAGTGTCAATGCGTCCGGTAATTTTAGATCTCGTTATAATAATTAAAATGGAGTTAATGTGGTCACAGGAGTTTTCATGCTCTGACAATTTTTATGTCCATTTTTCCAATCATTCGTACCTTTTGTCATTAGCATTGTTTGCTTGGAAAATAATTTACAGACGTACCAGTACAATAAGTTGTTGGTTTCAGTATAAGCCAACCAATCTCTTTTAACTTTTTCCCGCTATTAATTGTTTTGAAGAAGGAGGCAATAGTTAATTTTCTTGTGATTTGTTTTGACCTTCGTTGCATCGAATAGAAGATGATTCCAAAGATCCATTTGCTGATTTTGGTGGATTTTTTATACAGGGAGTCCCAAAACGACCGCATAAACTCTGCACAGCTAGATTCCTCGTTGGGAGTACATAAAAACTGCCCAAAGAATCGTTCCTGTAAGATCCATAGTTAACGAGAAAAATACGAAAAACAAAGTATGACGTCACTGCCGATGCAAGAGAAAACACTTTATTGGACATATCAACAACAGTATTTGCATATCTTTCAAGACGATAATGTTTAAAACGTTCGCCGCGCATATTCTGCTTTAAATTGTGCCTAGTATACTGCTGTTGATATGTCCAATAAAGTGTTTTCTCTTGCATCGGCAGTGACGTCATACTTTGTTTTTCGTATTTTTCTCGTTAACTATGGATCGTACAGAAACGCTTCTTCGGGCAGTTTTTATGTACTCCCAATGAGGAATCTAGCAGTGCAGAGTTTATGCTGTCGTTTTAAGACACCCTGTATAATACTCTTGCATGGGGTCTGTTAAGTATTCTGGCCATAAATCAATATTGTTTACCAAACTCTTTGTCTCATCACTTCTTTGAGATGATTTTAAATTTATATTTTCTCCTTTTGTTTCACAAACGGAATTGCTTGGTTTTTCCTACTGGTCTTTTTGCAGAATAGTTTCGGACACAAATGATGTTTCTGGAGTTTGAGCAGGTGAAATTTGTGAAAATGATGACGATTGTTGTAATTGTTCTCCATCTATAGTTAAAAACTTCTCCAACGATTTTTTCATTTGTTTTGACACTTTATCTCGATCTGCTTTTCGTTTTTCACTTCCACTTAAATGTCTATAGGAACTCATTTTAAAGACAACGTACTAAGAAGAAAATGATCTTTAATTAAATTTATTTTTACTCAATATCACAATCACAAACAAAATCACAATTTGTGGTATTTTATATTATATATTATTTTAATTAAATAATGTAATACTTTTATAAAAACTTGCATTTTTATTTTAGGAAATCCAGAAAGTATTACCTATGAATCCAAAACAATCTATTTGCAATCAAGTCATAATTGCACAATTTTCAATCACAACTCACGTGCAATACGTTCAGGAGACACTGATTTTAAATAGCTAAGTTTGACTTTTTAAACACGTGCATAGTAAAGGCTCGATCGTATTTACACACATCGACACTCGCGGGCGTGGATGCATAGGCACGGGAGCTCTCGTCCACGCTTGTCGATTTTATCAATCAACGATTCCGCATAATTTAGATACGTTTCAGCAATTATTATGAATATCACGTTTTTCTGTTAAATAAAAATTAATTATAAAAACTAAAAAATTAAAAACCTAATTTTCGGGCCCCAAAAATTGCGGGCCCTAGGCACGTGCCTAGATTGCCTAGGCCTTAGTCCGCCCCTGCGTGTGTGGTGGCAGAGTTAACAGAGTTATCCCGTGATCTTTACACAGTTGCAAACCCTTAGCAGACATGTGATCCATGATTGTCAAGTATAGTCAATACCTCTTTATCTTTGCTGCATTTTCTAAATTTTATGAAATGATGAAGGTATAATTGAAAGTTCTCTGCTGTCATCCATCTACTCGGATGAGCTGCAGCTTGCATTCCTAGAGGCCCACCCTTTGTCATTATTTCTTTTACATCAACTCGTGGAAATACTAAAAATGGTGGAATCGATGTTCCAATTGCAGAGATACCACAGCACATTGTGACTAAAGTTCCACGTTCTGCAGAGGTGACTTGAGACACTTGCTTCTCCCCTTTCATTGCAATAATTTTTCGTGATTTGTGTACGGTCGTGATTCCAGTCTCATTGAAAACTGCTTCCGGGCCAAATTTCTTTTTTTCTAAGATGCAGTGCAAATTATTGAAAAACTCTCTGACGGTTGTTTTATTGAAAGCAGTGGCTCTGGACAAACTAGTTAATTCAGGCTGACGTAATGATAAATTTGCATGCCTGTGGAAAAAAAACCTCAACCAATCATAACTTGCAGTTTTGTTTAAAGTCTAATTTTTTGGAATTACTTTATTATTTGCAACAGCATTTTGGTAAGCTAAGTTTCGCGTTGCTTTTGAAGTTAAACCATATTAGCAACGTAACCGTATTAGCAAAGTTAAGCAACTTTGAAGCATGCAGTAAATAAGCTTTAAGCACATGCTCTTATTCATTGGAAAACACCTGGCAAGAAACATGGTTTGCCTTAAATTCTATTTTGCCATCTTCTGATTTTTTATATTTATCTACATATCTGCCTAAAGTTTTTCGGTCGATTCCATACTCAGTACCCCCCAGGGGCACACTCTTGTGTGACGGGCATGGCGCACCCGGGGCCCCGAGCTGGACCTGAGCATTTTTCCATTTCTCTCATGCGACGGTCCTGTTTTGAGTTTCCGACTTTTCATCAAATATTATATTGACCTAGTGAACGAATTTTATTTCATTCCATTCAAAAACACTGTATATTATTTACAGACTATAGATCTTCAGATTTCTGTATGTTTTTTACTGTTTTTGTCGATATTCCTGATTTATGATGTTTCACCTATTTATTTTAAGTAACCAATTTTCCCCTAAAGTAAACAGACTAACAACGTTAGCTTTTGCTGACCAGCACGTTTGCCGTGTGCTGCGTCTCGTAAGGTGGAAAGGGGGAGCCTGGAGCTACCTGTCTGCTCTCTCATACGAGTGTGGCGCCCAAGGGGGCATTTTCATCTCGGAGTTGGTCGACTGCGTACTCTTTGGCCCCTGCTTCACTGTAGACGAGTGGAAGGAGGTTAGGTCCCCCTCCCTTTCAATCGGCTGGTAGGGCATGCGTAGCACCCTGCTAGGGACTACGTGCTGCATCAGGAGAGTGCCCTTGAACTCTGATAGTTTTGGCGGATCCACGCTCCCCTGTTGTAGTGCTATACCTGGAGCTACCCTGAACAGAACACCGAGGCTGAGCTTTTCAGAGCCGGTGCTTCTTTTCCCCTTGTTGGGCTCGATGGTGGGCATGGGAGTGTCCAGATGAACGTTTCTATGAGCTATGGAGTTACCCAAAGATTCTGCACACAGTATCGCAAATACATCTAAATTTGATCTATCCAAATGTCCCAACTACGACCCAGCAAAATCCAGATTTCTAGTTCTTAATTCTAAAGACAAAAAACTTAGTACTGTTTCACCATTCATTATTCAAAAATTCTTAGAATCCCAAATCGGAAACCCTAAAAATGTTCGTCAATTGCCGTCAGGTGATTTACTAGTTGAAACCAATTCTAATAAGCAAACCATGTCACTTCTACAATCACGTAAAATAGATAATATATCTATAACTGTTACTCCTCATAATACCCTCAACATATCAAAAGGTGTCATTACAGTTCAATCATTACAATATCTCCCAATCAGCGAGATTATTGAAGGTCTTTCTGATCAATCAGTTGTTGATGCACGCCATATAACCATTAAGAGAGGCAAAGATATAATTACTACTCAACATTTAATATTAACTTTCAATTCCGCCACTCTATCAACTGACATTAAAGTAGGCTATATTAATTGCAAAGTACGACCATATGTTCCTAACCCTCTTCGATGCTTTAAGTGTCAGAAGTTTGGCCATTCGACTAATCACTGCAGAGGTAAAGATCGACTAATCACTGCAGTGAATTTGGACATACATTTCAAACTTGCACCCGGCCTGAAAAATGTACGAACTGTTCAGAACCTCACTCCGCCAACTCCCGACTCTGTCAAAAATGGAAAACGGAAAAACAAATCATCAGCATCAAAGTTAATCAAAATCTGACATACACTGAAGCTAAAGCTAAGTTCTTAAGTTCTCAACCAAGACCTAATATTTCATATTCTGCAGCATTATTCAATAGTAAACCGAAGAAATCCATAGGTATTCAGTATGACGCAACTGATACCGAACTAAATAATACACATTTCAAAGTACTATTGCCTAAACCAACAGCAAGCTCAACTAATAAAGAGCACTCTGGAAAATCTGTCATCTCTCGTACAACACTTTCACAAACCTCTGCAGAAAAACAAAAATATCTGAAACTGACACCACAATTGGTAACTGTGTTACAACAAAAACTCCACTAGTGACTAATCCAATCTCCACTAGTGACTAAACACAAATATATACCAAAGAGCAGACAAAATAAATTTCATAAGAATAGGCCAAAACAATCAAAAGACAAAGAACAGGAATACTTACAATCAGATGCAATGAGCACAGACGAAAACACTGCAGATGAAATTTCAGATACACAAATGCAAACAGATAAAGGGTTGGAAACACCACCCAATCTCTGTCCAAAAAATACTAAATCTAAAAATCGGAAGCAATAAATGGCTAAAATAATATCTTGGAATTGTAGGAGTTACAACACTAATAAACCTGACGTTATAGATATAATAAATAAGTTCTCTCCGTGTTGCATTTGCTTACAGGAAACATCACTAAAACCTATTCTCCGAACTAAATTACATGGATATTATGTCATCAGGAAGGATAATATAGGCAATAGTAAAGCTTCAGGTGGAGTCATGATCATGACTTCCTGTATGTATCCCTCTAGTATGGTTTCACTAAATACCTCTTTGCAGGCAGTTTTTGTCCGCCTTAGTATTCAATATTTATTGACAGTATGTTGCATCTATCTCCCACCTCGAGATGATGTATCTGAAGCAGATCTTGATGAACTTATTGCACAACTCCCACAACCTTTCATTATAATAGATTTTAATGGCCATAATCCCATCTGGGGTAGTTCGGACACAAATAGTAGAGGAATCTTAATTGAAAAACTTATCAACAATCATTTACTCAGTCTTCTCAATTCTGGTGAGAATACCTATTTTCACGCCCCTTCACAATCATATCATGCCATAGATTTAGCAATTTGCAGCTCATCTCAATATCCATATTGGTCATTTTTGGTTCATGATAACCTTTTTGATAGTGATCACTTCCCTTTAATACTAACTCATACAGGCAGCAGTAACTTTCAAAGTTCCCGCACGCCACGGCTTAAAATGAGCACTATGAACTGGAACAAATTCAAATTCACTGTAACAATAACTGAAAACTTGATAAATCAAACTAATATAAATGACGCGGTAGAGCATGTCACATCGAATATACTTGAAGCAGCGAAACACTGCACAAAGATGACATCAACTAAGCTTCCGAAACATCCTAAACCTTGGTGGAATCAAAACTGTCATCAAGCACAGAAAGAACAAAAAAAACAATGGCTGATCTTTCGTAGACACCCAACCACAGACAATCTAATTGCATTTAAAAAAGCTCGGTCTATAGCCCGAAGAGCTCAAAGAAATGCTCAAAAAGTCTCGTGGAAAAATTATGTCTCCTCAATAAACTCTAATACACCATCAATTGAAATCTGGAAAAAAATTAAAACTATATCCGGTAAATATTGTGAACACATCATACCTATTCTCAAAGTTAATAATACACATATCTCTCATATCCCTGATATTGCAAATGCTCTGGCTGCTGCTTTCTCTGAAATCTCAAGCGCTTCAAATTATAAAGAACCTTTCGCCACGTTTAAGAGAAATATGGAAAGAACTAAATTGACGCCAAAAGACGACATAGATTGTAACTATAACCAGCCATTTACAATAAATGAACTCAAATATGTTTTAAAAAACACCGCCCTTCAGCACCTGGACCAGATGAAATTCATTATTCAATGCTACAAAACCTGCCGGATAGAGCTTTAGTGTTTCTACTTCAATTATATAATCGTATCTGGACAGAGAGAATTTTTCCACAGAACTGGTCAACAGCATATGTTATCCCAATCTTAAAACCTGGCAAGAATCCCGAAGAAACAACAAGCTATAGACCAATAGCCTTAACTAGCTGTCTTTGTAAACTTTTTGAAAAGATGGTGAATAAACGTTTAATATTTTTACTTGAATCGCGAAATAAATTATCTCCGTATCAAAGTGGTTTTCGTAGAGGCAGCAGCACCTCTGACAATTTACTAAAACTTGAAACCGATATCCGTCACAGCTTCCTCAAAAATCAACATTTTGTTTCAATATTTCTTGACATGGAAAAAGCATATGACAGGACGTGGAGATATGGAATCCTGCGTGATTTAATCAATTGTGACATAGGTGGTAACTTATTTTATTTTATCAAAAACTTTTTATCAAATAGAATATTTAAAGTTAAACTTAATTCAACTTTATCAGATGTTTTTCCCCAGGAGCAGGGTGTTCCTCAGGAAAGCGTTTTAAGTGTGACACTTTTCATTTTGAAAATTAACGAAATTTTAAATCAACTTCCCCGACTGTCTATGGCGAGCTATTTGTCGACGATTTTAGAATTTCATGCCGATCTGTCAATATGTCTCTCATTGAACGACAACTACAAATAGCTGTGAATAAAATTTTAAAATGGGCAAATGAAAACGGTTTTGCATTTTCTCCACAAAAAACTCATTGTGTTCATTTCTGTCGTAAACGTGGTATGCATCTTCATCCTGAGATAACTCTTAATAATAACGTGATTCCTGAGAAACCAAGTATCTACGCATGATCTTCGATGAAAAGCTTACATTCAAACCACACATATTTTATATTAAAAGAAAATGCTCTCAATCGCTTAACATTCTTAAGGTCCCCACAAACTGCTCATGGGGGGCTGACATGGACGCAATGCTTAAAATATACCGCTCCGTAATCCGTTCCAAACTTGACTGTGGTATTTCTGTATACTCATCAGCCCGCCAATCTGTATTAAAATATCTCGATACCATCCATCATCAAGGACTAAGAATTTCATCGGGTGCATTCAGGACTTTACCAGTTGAGAGTCTGTATGTGTTATGTTCTGAACCTTCTCTGCATTTTCGTCGATATAAGTTATCTCTGGACTATTACTTTAAAATAAAAGCGAATCCTCTTCATCCACTTTACTCTTGTGTTTGCCATCCACAACTTGTTACTCACTTCTCTTCACGCCCGTCTTACATTCCTTCATTTGGAATAAGAATCACCAACATTTTATGTGAACTTAACATTTTAAATTTTGAGGTTTTTACTTACACAGACGCTATCCCACCATGGGTTGACTTTACAGCTTGTGTTTTAAACGTTTTTAATAATTTGAAAAAATCCGAGACAAACCCAACAGTTTTTACCCAAAGATTTTACGAACATCGTCATCAATATATGGATTTTACGCCTATTTATACAGATGGATCGAAACATGATAACCATGTTGGTTGCGGTGTTGCTTACGAAAGTTTTAATATGTCTGAAAAATTTCTTCACGAAACTTCAATTTTCACTGCTGAATGTTATGCTATTTTGCTAGCGCTTAATTTTATTTCAGACCAAACTAAAAATAAATGGATAATTTATACTGACTCTCGTAGCTTTATATCTAGTGTTCCTTACATTGGAAAAAACCCCATAATTCAAAAAATACAAAACCACTTTATGCAATTGCAAGTCCGAGGGTTCAACATATATTTTTGTTGGATACCCTCACACTTCGGCATTCTTGGAAATGACCGTGCTGATATCATAGCTAAAACTACTCAAAACTTAAGCAGTAATCTCTTGACATGTTCGGACGTCAAGCACATTTGTAAATCTTCAGTTCATCAAGAGTGGAAAAATCATTGGAATATTCAAAATAATAATAAATTACATGAAATTTATCCTAATCTTGATAATTGTAAGACATTCACTGTTGATCGCAAAACCCAGACTTTAATTAATAGACTACGTATCGGGCATACTCGTTTTACGCATATGCATTTACTGGTAGCCGAACCTGCACCCAGCTGTACTCTATGTCAAGTTGACATTTCAATTAAACACATATTAACTAACTGCAGACGATTCAAATATTTGAGGAAGAAACTTTTCGGCAGATTTTATCCCAATCTTTCATCCCTACTTAGTGACCCTATACATCACAATTTAATCAAGTTCATCAAAACAATAGGACTGTATTCACTAATTTAAGTAAAAGTGTAATTCTTTTACCTAGTGACTGGCGCAGTATAGCCACTTCTGGCTCTTGTGCCATTAAACTTCAACTAACCAACCAACCAACCATACTCAGTAGCTACAGCTCTTATACTTTTAGTATTTTCAGTTACTAACAAAACAGCAGATTTCATTTTGGTTGGAGATACCTTGCATCTTTTATTATTTGATTTCCACAAAAAAGGCATCTGAAAAAGTTACTCATATTTTAACAACCATAAAAAAAGTATTATAGTTAGAAATAGAGTATCTCCAACTTTGTTAATTCTATTAATATACCATAGTAGACTCTCTCTTATTCTATAGTTCCATAAGCTAATCTCACTCACAATGTGCAATAAAATATTTATGAGTAGTGTGTAAAAGTAAAACATTTGATATAATTCAAGGATTGATTGAAAGTAATAATGGATTAGACAATATTAATTTAATAAACTAATTTTGGGGAAAATCATTATTTCTAACTTAATTTGTTAATTTTCATATCATAAAATATTAAATACTTAAGTTATATTGAAATCAACAGTAAGTGATGAATTTGAAAAATGGGTTAAAATTTGTTAGTTTGCCAACAAAACATGAAAGCAAATTTTAGTTGTGTTTAGTTTTAGCAGAAACACAGTGTTCCAAATGAATATTATTTTCATTGCTTTAAGTGACTTTGATTGCAAGTTANAAATTACATGAAATTTATCCTAATCTTGATAATTGTAAGACATTAACTGTTGATCGCAAAACCCAGACTTTAATAAACAGACTACGTATCGGGCATACTCGTTTTACGCATATGCATTTACTGGTAGCCGAACCTGCACCCAGCTGTACTCTATGTCAAGTTGACGTTTCAATTAAACACATATTAACTAACTGCAGACGATTCAAATATTTGAGGAAGAAACTTTTCGGCAGATTTTATCCCAATCTTTCATCCCTACTTAGTGACCCTATACATCACAATTTAATCAAGTTCATCAAAACAATAGGACTGTATTCACTAATATAAGTAAAAGTGCAATTCTTTTACCTAGTGACTGGCGCAGTATAGCCACTTCTGGCTCTTGTGCCATTAAACTTTAACTAACCAACCAACCCAGAACAATTTAGCATAAATAATGATTGAAAATTTATGTTTCATTTAAAAACCTAAAGTTAATAAATATAAATTTTACACTCGTTTAAGTTAAGGAGTAGAATTTAGAGCAGAGCAAGAAAAAAAAATCCTAAAAATAAAATTATAAAACTGATTTTATTTCAATAATAAATGAAGAAAAAAAAGGATTGATTTTGCTATTTGAACATTCTTACACTCAAGATTAGCTTGTTTAAACAAAACTAGCTGTTGTTAAACAAAAGTGGTTTCTTTTAGTAATTGCTAAAATTGAATCTTTAACATTCAGAAATTTTCACACAAATATATTTTTTCTTCACAAAAAATGGGCCCCAAAAATAAAACCTAAATCAACCCAGTGTGTTTTTAATCATTGTTTTGAAATTCAAAACATATTTTTTATATAAAAAACATCTTATATTCAAAATTAGCTAAGAATATTCTCAATGTATAGTATTATTTAACTTGATGTTGTATTATATTAATTGCATATTATACTTGTGGAACAAAATTGAATATTTTTGAACTGTTTACTAAAAATATTAACTAATATTTAAAAAAAAGTAATGAAATACTTTTTAATGGCTTAGTCACTTTTAATTTAAGGTTTAAAATATTATCTAACTTAATACTTTAAAAATATCTAAAAATCTATTTATTTTTTATTTACATAGGTTTCTCTTTTATATCTTACTTACACTCATTAGCTTATCACTTTAGCACAGACATAGGTGTACTTATAGAATAAAAAAAGATATTTAACTGTTACCTTTGCCATGCAGAAAATAGTAATTAATTTTTATTAACTCCAAAACAATTTTATTTTGAAAGCTATTTCAAAATATTTATTAATTTATGTAATTTAATTTGTATGGATAAAGAGAATTCTGTAATTGGCATTCAAACAAATCACAAAATTACTATTTAAAAAATATTTTAGTCATAAAATGGTATGACGCTTCCTTTAATTCTCAATATTTCGAAAGTATTAAGTTATGCGAAAAAAAATTTCTTTATGATAAGGATGGAAACAGATTAAAAATTTCCAAATTTAATTGAAATAGGTGCCAAATATGATTTTATCAAATACTTAAAAATTTATTTACTCCCTCTCTTGACTAAGAGCAAGAGACGATAATATGAAAGATTCACAATGATACAAAGAAATATTTGTTATTAAGTATGAATAAATGAACAACGATTTTCACTCACCACCTAAGAGCAAAATGTAATCCCGATAGTATGTGCTCCCTTTTTCTTTATCCCACAAATGTTTTGGAGGCAGGGACATGCATTTTAACCTCTTGTGATTTTCTTGATGTATGAACAATTCGCTTGACCAGTAAGCCTTATGCACCTTCTTTCCTTCATAGTCAGTACTATCTTTCTGTACGAAATCTTTAATAAACTGAATAGGCATTTTATAATTGATGAGCCTGTCATCTAGATAGCTGGCGAACATAGCAATTTTAAATCTATTTTTAATATATTATAGCTTAAATATAGAATGTAAGGTTTTCAACAGAAGTTCATGAAACTATCAGTATGCTGAACTGAGCTGTGGAAGAGATGAATGCTATTAATGCGAGTTGAGTTGTTAATAAAATTTGGATTATTTTCTAATTTACCAAAAGCTGTTCTTGAGACTATTGCGAAAGACAGAAGTTGCTTTCGAAAAGTTACTCAATTAATAGAGTTGTATAGACTATGTGACGGTTTAATCCATAAATTGCTCAAAAGGAAATGTTTCAAGCATTCTTGTTGTTGAATATATTCAACAAAGCTTTATGTGAAGTAGTAGATCCTAGGGGACCCTGCAAATCCCTAAGTATCTGATACTTCTAATCTGTAATGAAATATGTTTTTAACTAAGGGGTATTTTGGGGATTCTGGGTCACTGCCCCATTCGCCTCAATTATATAGCTGCGCCCCTGTTAAAAAAAAGTAGCTATTACGATACCCACTACATTTCTGAAAATACGGTCCTTAAACTTCTAAATCTAACACTATCGGCAAATGGTAGATTAAACAAAACAAAAAATTTTATTCAGAAGGCAACAATTATTTAATTTTTGAATAATGGAAATGAATAGGCCGGATCTCCTCAAGCATCGATATCGGTCTTGAAGAAAAGGTGGTACTTATTCCTGGTAAGTAAGACATTGGGCCCATGTCCAAGAGGTCGTGGGTTCCATCTTCACCGGCCGAAGATTCCCCGAGAAGTAAATGGTTGGTAACTGATCCTATCAAATGACTTATGTTGTCAACATATTCCGAAGTTAATGCATCCCTGACAACTGGAATGCAGACATATAATAGACAGTTTCTCCATTCATTTGCTTTATAAGATTTTCTTTCAAAAATCAAACGTGGGACGCGTCCAACACGAGGCTTTACAACATTCGATAATTTCTTATTCGTGGCTTTTTTGCACTTGGGATTACCAATATAATAATCTTTTATCTTTGTTGGTTCTGTACAACCATAATACACTGGGGCGATCGACCTTTAATACCCAACTGGTATCTGCCAGATTTAATTGCTTCTGTGGCAAGCTAGGTTCGTTTATATCTTCAAAGAAAATGACATTTGATAGTTCAGTCCACATTGAAACCTGAATGGAGACACCACGAACAACTTCATAGAACTCATTAAATTGGATACTATTTTTCAAACAAAGCCGACCTGCAGAGTCCGAACAACAACAAGTAGGAATCACATTCACATTTATGTTCTCATCAGCCAAATGAATATTTAAACCATTGATTGCTAGGTCTGAGGCCATTTCAGTAAAGGGTTTTAAAAAGCCCTCAAATTTAGGTTTTTTTCTTATAAACCGCAAGCAAGCATTACATCATTGTTTCTTTCCTTAAGAGACAATTCGTTAAGGGAAAATAAGATTGGCCATGCTGAACGTTTTGAATTGTTATACATGGCCGTCACGTCTAAAGAAAAGTTATACGTTAGTATATGTTGTCCACTGTAGTCACCATGCAGCTTTTTGTATAGCCTTCCATCGATGATATCTTCAAAAGTTTCAGAGTCTCGGATAATAAGCTCAGAAGCAAGTTTAGCTTTAAGCGCATGATTATTTTCATCAATTTCAGATAGTTGGCTTTTTAGTCCACACTAATAAAAGAATTGCCGTCTTTTTATCTACTGATCATATTATCTACACTTATGAAATTAAAACAAACATGGCAGAAAAAGTGATCTTTCATTGTGATAATAGACGAAAATAGTGGTGGCGCCCCTCTCTTCTGACCGTATCTAAACAAACCTCGCTTGTGCGCAGCTTAATGCTATTTAAATAGGCTTTTTGGTGACACTTTGTTTTTTTAAGTATTTTAATAAATAAACAGATTTCTTTTATTAGGAAACGGATTTTTTTGGTAAGAAACAGTTCATATTATCAAATTAAGAAGGTGTGAGTTTGAAAAAATTAGTTAATATTAATAAACGTTTTTATTTCATACTGATTGCTAAGCCTTGTGATTTAAGTTTTGTTTACATTTCGACAGGTTGATATTTATATATAAATATATTATATTTATTTGTCATTTTTGTTAAACATGGCGTGGAAAGCTGTTACAACTTTTAACATTAATTTTTCTTTAAGGCTAATTGTGTGTTTCTTTCTGTTTTTTTAAATTTTTTGTAATGTAAATAAATTATATTGAGGTCGTTTTGTTGACTGTGTTAAGGTGCCTTTATTAATTTAATCAAGCATTATTGATTAAAATAAATGGAAAAAAAAGCGCATTTTTTTCTTTCTCTCTCTCTTTGCCTGCAGTATATTTAAGTAGGTTATTTTTAATTATATGAATTTTCCTATCCATTCCATTATGTGTCNTGAGAAAGGAATTTCACGCTGATATTTGCAAGCAAGATGCTATTGTGGGGTTTTCTTGGCTGCTGGATGATGAGCCGCCTCCAGCTACGTTGAACCACGTTTCAATGGAGGAAATTTTATTTTCAAAGGAAAATGCACCCTTTGATTCTGCTTCTTTTCTTGAGAAGGCGAAATTGTCTCCGGAAGACATATCTTCCATAGAAATGGAGACGAGAGGACAAAGTTCCAACTGGAAATGGGCAAGATACAGAAAATTTCGCCTCACAGCCAGCAATTTTGGCTTTGTTATTAAGGCCATGAAGCGGAACAGTTATCCGAAGTCTCTATTTACGCGACTTGAGGGCTCCAAAGATTTGTCCAAAATCAAGCAAATCCAATGGGGCCTTCACAATGAAAAAGCTGGTGTCTCTGTGTCGGAGAAAACGTTAAATGTTAGTGAAAGTGGGTTATGGCTTGAATCATCTGGATTGCTTGGTGCTAGTCCTGTTGGATTTTTCCGTAATCAGGATGGCTCCACAAGCATATTGGAAGTCAAATGCCCTTTCAAATATCGAGAGGATAATCTCAATGAAAAATTAAAATTGGTAAAGGATTATATCCTCCACATCAACGATGATGTGTATGTGATCAACAATACGCATGACTACTACCACCAGATGCAAGGGCAACTAGCCATTTCCAATGCCAAGTCTTGCTCATTTGGACTCTAAAATCATGTATTATCTTTGAAGTTTTGAAAGACGAGAATTAGAGATGCCTGCCTTTACTTAAAGAATTTTATTTGAACAAGTGGATGCCATGGCTTTTACAAAATCATGCTTCGTCTAATATTTAAATCAATTTCATTTCGAAATTTTCATCTAAATTATCGTTTTAACTAATCTAATTTAATTAATTTTATTATTAAAAGTAGTTTTAACTATTTCTTTAATTAAATCCTTAAAATGTTTTTGTGAATTTAAATTTTTTTCAAAAATTTATTACATAATTACAGTTCTTAAATTTTATTTACTTTAAACCTCTTTAATTCCTTAATTTAATATCTACATCAAAATTATAAAATTAATTCTGAGAATTTGCATTTTTATACCAAAATATTGAGATTTTATATTTCATCCACTATTTTTATAAATCAAGTTGCAAAATTTGGTGCATATAGTTCTACCTAACTGTCAAAATTTTTAATTTATAAATAGTAATTTCTTTTCTAAATTTTATAATGTTAACAATTTAAAATTTCATGTATAATATTAGACCTTGTATTGTATAATTTATTGTTTATGCAATCATTTTTTAGATTATATAAACAGAAAGAGTATAAAATAATTAACATGGCAAAATGTCATGGATCATTATTTTATGCTCTCGTTAACAAGGTAACAAAGATTTTAATAAAAATAGATCAGGTTGATTAATAATCTGTATAACTCGTAAATATTTTACCATAAAATGTCTGTTTGTTTTTCCATAATGTCTACCTTGTTAACGTCTTTTTTATTATTTTTTTTTTAAATTTATCTGGCGTAAGCCTGGAAATATTTAATTCTTGCATGTTGTAAATTTATTATTAACAATTTTTAATCCTATGTGCATGCACAAATCTTTTAATTCCCTTGCATGTTTTAAGTTTTATCTTAAATGAATTTTTGGTATTTGCGAGGCAGCATTTAAAGGGGAACTTGGTTTTTAAAAATATATACAAAACTATGCTAAAAAAAGTTTGAAATATACTAGTAGGGAAGAATGTTCAACTTGCATATTTCCTGCTGCTTCGTTTATCTTATTTTGTCTGGCATATGCCTGGAAAATTTTTATTACTGTAATTCATATCCTTGTACTAATGTTTTTACCCTTGCATGTTTTAGGTGTTATATTAAATGATCTAATGGTATTTCTGAGCCAGCATTTAGAATTGCTGTTTGTTTTTGAAAACACAAAAGTATGCTGAAAGTGAGGAACATATTAGTAGGGAAGAATGTTCAATTTGCATATTTCCTGTATAAAACTGCTGCCTCGTTTATCTTATTTTGTCTGGCATAAGCTTTGAAAAGCTTGAATATTGCACATTTAATTCCCTTGTTTGTATGTACTTATTTTTTTATTCATTGCTTGTTTTTTTTTTTTTTACTTTTAAATATTTTTAGGAAAATAGACTGAAGGCAGCCTCTGATGAATCAACTTTAATTACTGTGATTGGCCGTGACAATTGTAGTGCTAGATGTTTGCCTGTATTTAGCTCGTATATTTTTTTTTCAAATATAAAAAAATACGATCTGATATAGTCTTACTCATTTGGCCGATGTTGTCTGAAGAACATGAAAATTGTTTCTTTGAGCATGAAAGAAGTCTACATTTGGGTGACATCAACAATAGTAAGTATATTTACTGTTTGAAGACAATTGTATAGCTTAATTTTTTTTTTAAATGAGTAAGAATGAAATTTAGGGAATGCAAGTTTTAATAGCATTATGTTTTGAAATATTAATTTTTTCAACGCTCGGGCTAGTATAAACTAAACTATAAATCTTGACACTAAGGAAAAACCATTTACAAACATAAGTTTTTTCTTCGTTCAGGGGTATCTTCACAAATTCAACTTTAGGAAAAACTAACTACTTATTCTTAAAATTTTATTTTTGTATCCCATAAGAAACAATGAATCCATCCTGTTATTTTCAGTATCTCAGCTATAGGGGTACCAGTTGATGCTAAAGCAGTTCTGAAATTTTACAAAAGTTTAAAGGCAATTGGGCTTGGAACATCTTTCATATTTAAAATTTAGATTTAAGAGTATTTTAATATAATAGAAATATATATATATAAGAGCTTTTAGTATACTTTAAGTGTTGTAGACTATCTATTTGGAGTGAGTTAATAGTAGAATATTTTTGGCAAAAACTTTATACATTCAGAATATCTATGATATTCAAATTTTATTTACACATAAACTGAAATTGAAGGAATGAAATAATGGCAAATAAGCTACAATGCTAGATCAAGATGTTGCACATTATAAAAAATTTTAATTGTGTAATAAATATTGAGAAATATTTAACTATTTATTTAACACTAAATTGCCCAAGGGAAAAATTTTGACTGCTTTTTATTTTCAATTCGAATTACAATGATGTATATAATGACAAAATTTCTTATATTTTTGTGATTTTTTTCATTGTTAATATTTAATAATAAAGTGTCATATAACTATAAATAATTATATTAGATTTTCCATTTGGAGTGAGTTAAAAGTGTAGAATTTTTGACAAAAACTTCGTTCAGACAGAAATATCCATAAAATTCAAATTTTATTTACACATAAATTGTAGGAAAGAAACAATGACAAATAAGCTAATGCATATCTAAAATCAAGATAAATGTACAATACTGGATCAAGATGATGCACATTAAAAAAAATTTTAAGTATGTAATAAATACTAAGAAATATGTATATTTAACAAAAGATTGCCCAAGGAAGTCATTTTAACTGCTTTTCAATTTCAATTCGAATTACAATAATGTATATAATGACAAAATTTCTAAGAATTTTGTGACTTTTTGTACAACGTATAATTTTTTTGTTGTTAACATTTAATCTAGTGTTAAACAGAACTTAACATTAACTAAGTTAAATATTAATACAAAATAAAACAGTGACACTTCAGAGCGTCAACAATGTTATAAGTGATTTGCAGTAGNTATACTTTTTTTTGTTGTTAACATTCAATCTAGTGTTAAACAGAACTTAACATTAACTGAGTTAAATATTAATACAAAATTAAACAGTGACACTTCAGAGAATCAACAATGTTATAAGTGGTTTGCAGTAGTTACAAAAAATTTTCATGACAAACATACAGATTCAATTTTAAAATGGCATATTAAACTCATTATTATCACTTCTCGCAACAATAACATTAAATAGTGTAACATTGTTATAAATAGCTAAGTGTAAGCACTCAAGTGTGTAACTATGCTGGATATGAAGCAAGGTTCATAGATTTAACCGAAAGAGTTAAAAAAATCATAAACTTTTGCAAAAAAAAAATACAATTCTTTTATAAATAAATATTTTCTTAATTTACAAGTGTTGAGAATGTTCGCAGTCAAAGCTTGAGCAGTATTAGAGAAACACATGTTTATAACTTTTTTTTAAAGTTTAAACTAAGAACAAAGTGAAAATTTATTATGCAAAAAAAATCATATTAATGAAATCTCATAATTTCAATTAAAAATATATTTATTCAAATAATTAATAATAACTTTATTTCTTATACTTTTTAAAAAAGATAAAATAATCCAATGAAATTAAAAATGTCCAAATCAAATCAGTTTCTTTAAGAGAAAAAAAAAATCATAAATCCTGATACAGTATGTTATAAAATCATGATCATATCATGCATTATACAGGGATCACATAATAAAGAAATCTTCACTTTTATACTTTTAAATTGTAAGAAAGTTTCAGAAAAGTATTATGAACAATGGAAAAAAAAGATTACTTTATTCTTTATTAATAAAAAAATTAATATAAGGAGGAAATAAAAATCAATAAAAAATAATAAAGAAATAAAATAAAATAACTTTCATTTGTTTCTCATTTCAAACTTTCATTTGTTTTTCTCATTTTGTTTCACTTTAGATATAATTTTTTTTAATGAAAATTAAACTTTTTAAAGCTTTAAGATTAATAATGTAAAATATAATTTAGAACCAAATAAATTGTAGATAAATGTAATTAAATAAAATTAAACACTAATGGTTATTAACTGCACTGGTTTTAAATAGTAGTTTTAGAAAAATAAACATATATATTAATATTAAAGATATAGAAAAATATACAAACAAAAAGTTTATGTACAAAAATATTTTAAAAAAACTTCTTAATCTACAAGCAAGAATTCATGAAGAAAGAAAGCAGTATCAATTTATGAAAAATATTTTAAATTATTATATTTAAGGAAATAAAAAGTTAAAAGCAATAAACGAATTTAAAATAATTTAGAAATATTATAATTTTAAGGTTTTATATTATAAAGATGTTGTACCTCTTTGAGGAGTGGAGGTTGAAAATTAGTTAAGGCAACACATACTTGTAAAATTTTGGAACTATGAGGAAAAAGAGATTTTGGTAACATTTTTGTGATTTTAAAAACTTTAATGCGCCTTATAGCTCTTTCAACATGAATTCTTGCCCGAGCGATTTTTTTAGTGCTATTAATTTGGATGGGGGTGAATTGTGAGGCAGATAAAAAGGGTGGAATGTTCACAGCAACCCCATCAGGCACAACATCAGAAATCAGGAAGCCTTTATCTGCCACAACAAGATCCCCAGGCTGAAAAACATTATTAACATTACAATTTTTAAAAAGCTCTTTATCGGAAGTAGATCCGGGATACATTTCACTAGTGTAAGTAATAACACCATTTGGAGCTACTCCAATTAGAGCTTTCATTGTATGTCGATGTTTATAGGAGCTGTAAAACAGCCGCTGATGAGACATTTTTTTGGGTCTTTGAACACAAAAATCAGTGCAGTCAATAACCATCCTGCAATTCCTAAAATTCATAAAACATGAGGGCAAACACAACTCATTTTTAACTTGTGTTGGTACAATTGCCATTAGACAATTGTACAGCACCTCATGTAGACAGTAAAGCCAAGTTAAAAAAACATTTGTTATAGTACCTTCACTTACTTGGAATCGAACACCAAGATCAGTGTGAGTGGGATTCAACTTTAATTTCATTAAAGTCACCAACAACTGATCTTTTCGATCCAAGCAAGTGACATTCCATTCTTCATAATACTTGTCTAACACCTTATCACAATTAGAAAATATAATATTGAAAATTTCCTTATTAGGTAAACCTGTATAATGCATGATATGATCATTCTTTCTATACTAAAAAACCCGAATGGCTGCTTCTTCAAAAATTCCTGCTCTGACAAAGCGTTTCTCAATCTTAAATTCTCCTCCTTCAGTTTGAGGTTCTCCTCTTTCAAATTGGCGATTTCTTGAGTGAGTGTCTGAATAGCAGCAGCAGCAAGAGACTGGGGCACAGTGGAGGTTAGTGGAACAGCAGAAACTAAAGGAGTTGCTGATATGTTTCTAAAATAAAAGCACATAAATGTATTGTAATCATATTTCATTAAAAAATAAAAATAAAAAAAAGCATGTCATAAATTCAGTAATATATAATAAAATAAATATATACTGCAAAGCATAATTTTGATTCAGGTAAAGATCAAATCAATTGTCAAGAAAGTTGAAGGTTATATGAACAAAGTAAAAGAAAAAAATATTTTGGAATAACAAAATAGGTGTAAATTAAGTTCTCCATCGAGTAGCGAACTAGTTACTACAACTTCAAAGCAGTTTGTAGTCACTACATAAACTACTTTAGTAATGGTGTAATAAATAGTAAATTAATGTAGTTTTTACACATACTTTGAACAGATATACCTTGAACGAAAGTCAGAATAAGAAAATAACTAATATTGTTTTTTATCATTGTAAGAAATTATACAAGACATTTATGTAGATAATACTTTTAAACACGGAAGACATATCAGATATACTGTGGAGGAGAAACATAATATATATATACCATTTCGACAAAACTGTTAGAATCCAATATTGAAATACCTTTTTTTTGAAGCTTTTTCAGAAGATTGAAAATTAAAAATCTTATTCTTATTGTGCTCAAAAAGCGTTGGCCCATTTTCTTTTAATCCATCTTTGAAATGGCATTGGCATATTACATGATTCTTTGAAACTTGAATATCATCTCTCCTATAAAGCAAATTAAAATTCTTTACTAATAAGCAATTAAAGAGACAAAAAAATTTTGAAGTTATATTAAGTTGTAATTAATTTACCTTATATTCCTAATCCATATTTTTTACACTTTTGGATTAGCAGGAATCCGAAAAAAGCGACAGGTGTCTTTCTGGTTATAATGTTTGCAACCAGGGGCAATACACGTAACCATTTTCAAACCTTTAAATAAATCATCAATAAATTACAAACATATGTTACATTTAACAAAAATTTAAAATCCATAATCATGAGTAATGTTTTACAGATTTACACAGATACATAATATCATCTAAATTAGATTTATTAGACTTTATTAAAAATTCTACATATACGAAGAAGATTGCAATTGTGTTTTTTAATCAAAAAGTCTATGTTCTATTACTTCATAAACATTTAAATTGTTAGACACATTTAATGAAATGGATAAGAAAATTCATATAATTAAAAATAACCTATGTAAATATACTGCAGGCAAAGAGTAGGAAAAAAAAATTTGCAAAATAATAAATAAATTTGAAAAAAAAAATAAATTTGAAAAAAAAAATTAAATTAATAAAGGCACCGTAACACAGTCAACAAAACGACCTCAATATAATTTATTTACATTACAAAAAATTTAAAAAAACAGACTACTAGACTAGATATATAGTTGTTCAAAGTGCCTGCCCGCAAAGCGGGCATCTGACTTTTTCATCGCATAATGTGTGCCCTTGGGCGACTAAGACTTTTGGCTTTAGGGTAATGNCACAGATACATAATATCATATAAATTAGATTTATTAGACTTTGTCAAAATACGTAATAAATAACTGAAACACGTATATAAATCCATTATATTAAAATAAAAATTTTAATATGAGATCTAAAAGAATTCTAAAAAACTTTACATATCTAATGTATCACCACATGCTTTGACATAAATTCTAGCACGGAATCAGATATTTTCTAGTATTCCATAATCATCCAAATTTAATTATTTCAATTTTAATAAATTTCTCTTGAAAAATAATTTAAATGACCAGTATCTAATTTAAATGGAAAGTGTATATAACATATTCTAAATAATAATATTTTAAAAATAAGAACAAAGTATATTTACTTACCAAAAAGTAAAACAGCGTCTTCTTCAGAAATACCGCTGTTAACTGAATGTTCTTTTAATTCTCGATTTAAAATATTAATTGACATATTCTCAGAACTGACATATATTCAGAAGAAAATTAATCGTAATTTTTTGTATAGGATCTTATATAGCAATCTAAAAAACACCAAGTTTGGGCTGCATGGCTAGTTATTTTATTTTTCATTGCATTTTTTCATTAGGTTTATATCTCGAATCATTGCCAAAATAAAAAAATTTCTACAAAATTTAATTATTCATAGAATTTTTTTTAATAAAATATGTAACAAATAATTCATGATGACAAATGCAAAATAATGCACATAGAAAATTACTCCTCCAAAAAGGTCATGCCCAAGGCAAGGTGGCAATCCAAGCCTACTAACATGAAAATATGCCAACTCACTGAATACGGAAGGAAACCTAATTTCTTCAAATGACTCATTGCCTAAAGTGTTCGTACAACTCCATCCATACGTTTCCTTCGTTCGTATTTGACCAACAGAATATGGTGTATCATTTAATTCATGTTTTCTTATCCGTTCGTTGTCTCCGTTTGACTCAGCGTACTTAGAGAATTTTTCGCAGGCCTAATTCCCTTAGGTGACTTATGCCGTCAAGTAGCATTGATATGAGGATATTTTTAGGATGAATCCATTATTAGATTAGAATCCATTTCTTTTAATAACAGGATCTATGATATCCTCCTAATCACTCGACAAATAACGCGATAAAACAATTGATTGATGCGCTATGGATTATTGATAGACTTTTTAGAGTTAACATTTAATAGTTAACATTTAACTAATAGTATTTACAGCTGATGTCATTGTAGCTTTCTTTGATATTATGGCGAAGCATTTTCTGTCTGAGTAAATGTAGGAGCAACATTTCTTCATATTTTTATCTATAGAAAATTAAAATTTGTTATATCACTTAATTACACTGGTGGACAAAATTAAGAGATGGAAGACATTTTCTCAAATATCTCAAAAAATACTGAATATAAATAAATGAAATTTGGTATAGATATAGCTTATTCCATGATAATAAAGTATGGAAAATGAAAGTGCCATTCACTTTCAAGATCCCATTCTTCCACCAGAGCAATTTTTAACTCCAGAATGGTTCTGGGGGGAGGTTGGCGCATCGCAATAGCTCTCCCAAGAGCATCCCAAGCATGTTCAATAGGATTCAGGTCAGGGGATATGGCTGGCCAATCCATTCGTTGAATATGCTCGCTTTCCAGATAATCATCAACCATGAGAGCCCTATGTGGTCGCGCATTGTCGCCCATAAAAATGAACTCAGGGCCAACAGCGCCTCTGGAAAGACGCACATAGGGCTCTAGGACCTCTTGCGGGTATCTTGCATGTGCGAATGAATGTGCGAAAATACTTTCAATCTCTTAATTTTGTCCACCAGTGTAGGTCAAAAATTTTATCAAAAACTAGTCATTAGTTTTTAAATGTAGAAAATATATACAATAACAATAAATACTTTTTAAAAAAATATTTATTTCATAAATAATTGCACCAAAAAAATATATATAACGAAATAATCATGTGTCAAAACAAAAATAAAGCAAGTGTTGAACATTCAGATCATTTTCAGAGTATCTGAATCAGACTACAGTATCTAAAGTTGTTCCAGCTTTCGTTTTCCTATAAAATGAAACTCATAGAGAAATATTTGATTGAGTACTACACTGCAAGGAAAAAAGAAATTCCGTATTATTATAGAAGATCACTGGCGACCAGAAAATTTCTTTGTGCTACAGAAAAAAAAGCAGCAACAATATTTTCTGAAACAAAACCATTTAAAAAATCTTCGAACTGAAGATTTTTTTTTATTCCTACATATCAGATTATGTGGGATACGATAAAAGTACAATTGACATCAAAAAATTTGATTGTGGAGGAGGAGATTGTGTTTGCCCTAGAAAATCGAGTCGTGGTGGTGTTGTCATCTGTCAAAAGGCGAGAGAGTTTCGTGTTCATTATGCGTGGTCATCAATGTGGAGGGTTGGTGTTCGTTGGTTTGAATCAAACCTGGGATATTTCGATCAGTTGCTAGACGCTTCGACCGACATGGAAAAAGATGTACACCGAACCACGGTGATTTCAGGAGCTTTATATAGTTGCAGCCGCAGACTTTTCTAGTTACCCCAGCCACCCAAAGTCACCCCAGGGTGCATTTTCTTTTTAATTATTAAATAACTAACATAATAATAATTAAAAATAAAAAATTATGCATGATTTGTTATCTCAATTGATAAGACTTTTAAAGTATAACCTACCTTCCTGGCCAGGATAGCCAGAACTTCTTCAACCGAGCAGACTTTCCAGCCTCTGATTTTGCGAAGTTAAAAAATTTGAAACTGTTTGTAACTTAAGCTCACAATTTTTCAAGAACGATGTTGTTTACATAGCCAGTTCTTGGTAAACCATTAGTTCGTTATGTTGACAACTCAAATCAATTGATACCGAGCTTAAAAAAATACCCCTAGATGGCACGACGCAAAAATTCAGACACAGCAAACACATTGGTCGTTCTTGGCCATTAATGACTTTACATGTAAATCCAAATGATAAGTACATTGGATCATATTTTCTACATTTAGGTTTACTATTTTGCGAAGATGTTCCGCTATTTTCGTTACCTCTTCTTTTGCCGTCTGCTTCTGCTTCATTCAATTTTCTTTTCAACCCAGTTACGTATTTATCCATCTAAAAGGGTTATTATTTTAAATCAAATAAAAATACTTTATAACAGTTTTGAAATTTACCTCAATATTAATTTAGAAGTGTACCAAAGCGAGTTTGTAGACAATCTGCGTGGAAACGGTCGAGTTTAACCAACGTTTCTTAACGAAATGCCGCGTGTCTGCTCTCGTCTGGGCGCACGCATCCAGGTGTAGTCGCGTCGTCCGAGTTTGAAAAACCCCGCAGTCGCGCGCA